TTATGTATAGTATCAATCAACAAGACATGAATATTTATAATAGCACTTTAAAAACACTGTAAAACACTTGCAGACCATAGAGTTGGGACAAACCCACAGCTGACCCTCTAGCAGGTTTCCAGAGGCAGACAAACAGGAGGAGATTGCCTATCTTTCTCCTGTAAGTAGCTGGCAGATTGGAACCACATGCCTTTGGGTTGACAGTGCAATTCCTTACCTAACCAGGCCATATAAGGACAATGGAGAGCTTGGCCAGGACTAAGGCCCCAAGGATGAGAGTAGATACCTCCTTGGAGCACTTAATGCCCAAGCCAACATGGCCATAATAGTCTTCAGTGGTGATGAATGCCTTAAACATGCCACCAAAACTCACAATACTCCGAAATACATTATAATTGTTGTTATATACATATGATCCAGCCATAGTCTTAGTTGCTATGCATCTCTTGCTATGCCATCTGAAAGTTGGACAATGACTAAAGGGCAGAAGAGGAGTTGTGATGTTGGGTTGTGATGAAGAACAACTGTGGAACCTGAGCTGGAGAAGAGCTCCTCAGGAACAGGAATAAACAGAAAAAAATTTGTAAAACATATATACCAAAAGCTACAAAATGAAAGAAATCAAGAAACATTTAAATAAACGGTGAGCTCTGTCACTGTGAAGGGAGTTCTGCTGGCATAAACCACAGAGAGTTGCACTAACCCAAAAGCTGTGCCTCTGGCAGTTTGAATCTACCAGTTTTTCCAAGGGAGAAATGGGTGATCTCTTCCTGAATAGTTTGCTGCCTAGGAAATCAACAGAGGTCAGCTAAGAGTTGGTTCCAAATCAATGGCAATGATTTTGAGAGTTGCACACACATATATTCCTAAGCTTACACATAGCACTGGGAAAGTTAGACAACGAATAATGAAGACTGACAAATTCATGCTTTTAAATTGTGGCATTGGTGAAGACCGGTAAAAGGAAAACAAATCTGTCTTGGAAGAAGTACAATCAGAATGTTCTTTATAAGCAAAGATATTGAGACTTCATCTCATAAACTTTGAGTATGTTGTCAGGGGAGGTCAGCCCTTGGAAAAGGACACTATGGCTGAAAAGGTCAAATGGTGGGTCAGCAAAAGAAAGCAAATCCTCGCAAAGAAGGGCTGATACAGTGATTGCAACAATGTACTTAAGCACAGCAGAGATTGTGAGGATGGCACAGGATCACGCAGGGCTTCACTCTATTACAGACTGGGCTGCTATGAGCTGGGTCAGTGAGATACAATAACAATATCATTTTCATAGATTAACATTTAGAATGGATTTAAATTTAATTTATAGTCATTTCTGCCAATAATACCATGCATCTCAATTAAGTTTTCTTCCTAGAAATAAACTAGTTGAATATACAATATTTCAAGTATCTAGAATAGTTAATGCAATTTGAAAAATAACAAAGTTGAAAGTCTCAAACTATCTGCTTAAATACTTACTATAAAGTTAATCAAGAGAAAGAGCTATTAATGAAGGGACAGAAGAATAGAGTCAATGAATCATACAGAGACTATAAAAAGAATCCCACATACATGGTCTACTGATTTTAAAGAAAATATAAAAGCAACTTTCAACAAGGTTCAAAGGCAATTCAATGGAGAAAAGATAGTTATTTTCCAATAAATGGTGCTTACACAATTACACATTCATTTATAAATACATGAATGTTAATCCATATCTTACATCATATATAAAATTAATGAAAATGGCTACATCACAGAATAACAAAAACAAAACTAAATTAGCAACAACTAAAAATATCTAAAATTTCTATAAGAAAATATAAGAGACAAGTTTTGTGGCTGAGTTAGGAAAATACTTCCTAGATCAAAAAAAAAACCAAAAACACAAAACAACACCCATCATAATCATATATATATATATCACATACACACAGACTTCATTAAAATGAAACATCGTTACTCTTCACAGGATAGTGAAATGGCAAGTCACCAACATGAAGAGAGTACCTGAAGAACGTGTAACTGACAAAGGATTTGTGAGAATATATAAAAAGCTCTCAAAACTTAGTAATAAGAAAACAAGAAACTCAAGTAACATACTGTTTATGTTGCCTCTCTTAAAATCATACTCTAGTGTGATTTGCTCCTATTTGTTATTTTATGTTCATTTATATAAGTAACAAATTAAAAGTATTAATATAAAGATTATATTAAGTAAACTGAAGCAAGGTCTGTATTAGCTTACATCTACAGTTGTGGTTATGTGCTGTCGAGTCGCTCTGTCCTGTGTCAATCGCACTGTCTCCGACACTCCCATCCCAATTATCCCAGTCACGGAATCAATCCACCTCATAGAGGGCCTTCCTCTCCTGCGCTGTCCCTCCACCCTCCCAAGCATGATGTCCCTCTCCAAGGACCAGTCCCTCCTTACAACATGTCCAAAGTACGTTAGACAGAGCCTCAGAATCCTTGCCTCCAAGGATTAACCCTTTCCAGGATGAATCTGTTTTCCTAGCAGTCCACGGTACTCTCAATACTCTTCTCCAGCACCACAGCTCAAAGGCATCAATTCTTCTTCTATCCTCCTTGGTCATTGTCCAACTCTCTGATGTATAACAAGTGATTGCAAAGACCATAAAACACTTTATTTACATAAATGATACAATTTCACAAATAGAGCATCTACTACCTTTAAAAAACAAAACAAAAACAATTTCCATGGACTTTATCAGCTTAATTAAACTTAAGTAATATTTTTATTTTAGAAAAGAAACAGTACATACTAGATGTTATAGCAAAATTCAATCATAAAAAACTTGGGAGAATTTGCTATTAACATTTCTTTGCCTTGCACTGAATGGAATGTCAGATATGTGACATGGAGTTGATTATATGGTTAAACACAAGAACTCTTTTATTACAGCTTTCTATATATGTCTTTCTGGCTGATAAAGTCCAATCCCAACAGCTAAATTTACTAACTATACACAGCAGACACATAGTGATGTCAAATCAATTTGAATCACAAGAACCTACTAAAGGCAAAGGTAATCAAAACTATATAAATGGAAGAATATAGTTCTTTACTATATTTCATACTTTACTATGGGGAATTAACTATTCAGCCAGACCCTAACTACTCAAAAACTATAAATACATCACCATGTCATCATATCCTTCTTAGATAAAAGATCAATGAAAACAGAAAATATGCTTCTGATTAATTCTTGTAAGTAAACTCAAAGCACAATCAGGAACATAGTGAACCTCGGTAATTATGTTCTAAGGACGAAAATGACAGATGATACTACGTGTGGGTAAAACAAAATTTCACATATTTCAAAACATTTAGCAAACTGTAATCAATCAGTTTCAGGTTATAAAGAGAAGGCACGGCATTAAATATAGTATAAGCTACTTTCTAAGCAATTTGACTTTAAAAGGAGACAAAACATTAGGCAGAAACATTGTACATTCTGACTAACTGAAGAAAAAGTCACATCTACTGATATTACACGGCCACAACATGACTTGTATTAGGTTATAATTCCAAAAGCAATCCTCAGTGGAGTTGTCAATGAATCTAGGACTCTATCCCAAGAAAATAACCCAAAATATAAAAAATCCATTTGCAAATATATCACCTAAAACTGTCAATTTAAATATATGAAAACAAACCCACTACCACAGCCATTGAGGAGATTCTGACTCACAGCAACCTGCTATCAGATTTCTAAGGCTCTTGATCTTTATGAGAAGAGACTGTCCCTCTCTCTATTCTGGAGCAGCTGGCAGAGCTGAACTGCTAGTCTTTCAGTTTCACAGTACACACTACACTTCCAGAGCTATTTGCATATATAAAAAAGTTATGCTTAATAAATCAGCTATTGAGTATAATGAGCTTACAATGACTTAGTGCCATGGCAAAAATCCTGACTGCAAAAATTTATATATTTTTTTTCCTTTACATATGTCTGTATTAAACATATTTCTGGAAGAAAAAATATTACATGCTTAACTTGTATTTCTAAAAGCTATCTTGTCACCATAATAAAAGATGGCAAAGAACAGCTAAGACCTTACTACAATAATTCAAACAAGAAATGTAGAGCGTCTGAGTGAATACAATGGCACTGGGGATGGAAAGAAAATATACTTCCAAAAGATATTTCAAAAACAGAATCAACAGGTTATGGCTACTGACTGGAACAAGAGGTTACAGAAAAATGACTGAAACAAACCATAATTTTATAAACTACTATCAGAACCACAGAATACAAACATTTATAGAATAAAATGATAAGGACAGATGATCCTGAAGTACAATCATAAATGTTAATTTCTTTCTATACAACTTAATTTAATAATGCATGGTACACAGTCCAGTTTATATAGTATTAAGAAAAGATTTTTATCTACAAAGTTTTAATTATTTGGAATATTAAGTGGCATATTCTATACTCCCTATTGAAGTCATTAATTAAGCTATTGCTATTGTTGTTGTTAAGTGCCGTCAAGTTGTAGTTTTACAGCAAATTGACAGAGCAGTACTATACCACTTAGAAGAATGTTTGACCAAAAAGAATTAAAATTAGGCCTGAGGGCCACAGGTCTGAGGGCCCAAATGCCTTTTTAATTACTTTTGTAGAATCTGGCTGCTCCACTCATCTTCCCAAACCGGATTCCAGCCTATTGCTATTATGAAGTCTTTATTAAGAATCATCTCCCTAAACTTGGAAAACCCATTGTCATCAATTCTGCCCTGGCTCACAGTGATCCTCCATCAGGTTTCTGCATCTGTAAATCTTTATGAGAGGAGACTGGTCATCATTCTTTCTCAGAGAAGCTAATGGTTTTAAATTGCCAGCTTTTGATTAGCAGTTGAATACGTTCTGAACCATGCCACCAGAACTCAGAAGGGGACACTATGTTTAGTGCATTAGCAAAATATTTTAGCTTGAACATGTACAGCATGCAGTCTTTCAAAAAGGATACATTACCATGTCATTTTTATTCTCCATGAAAATGCTGAGTTTCTTCAAGAATGACACAACTAAAATAAGCAGCTCAAAATTGTCCCGATCCAGAGCCTTCACCAGCATGTGAACTATGTTTTTGTTTCTCATCTTTAGTTCTGTACGAGTGTCTTCAGCAAGATTCAGAAGTAAATAAAGAGCAACTGGAGGAGAAAAAATAGATCAGAGTTAATAGACTGAGTTAAATGAATCAATAATTAGAAAGTTAACTTATACTTACAAGGCAAGAAATGTACTTCAAAACCAGTATATTGTAAATGACTTCAAAAAATTTTTAAGGGTTAACAATTACTTATTGTTGTTGGATGCTACTGTGTTAACCCCCAACTCATAGAGACACCATGCACAACAAGACAAAATGTAGATTAGCGGCAAACTCTTGTGATTCATAGGATTTCGTGGGCTGATTTCTGAAATTATGTTAGCAAGCCTTTCTTCCTAGTTAGCTTAGTCTACAAGCTTCCTAGAAGCTTGGTCAGCAGCATATTGGCCAAGTAGTAAGGAGATGTGCTGCTAGCAGAAAGGCAAATGGTTCCAATCCACAAGCAGCTCCAAAGGAGAAAGATCAATTAATTAATTAATTAATTAATTAATTAATTAATGGGCCAGTCCTCTCCCATGAGATTTATAACCTCTGAAAACCCACGGGAGGGTCAGCTATGATTTGCTGGTTCTGACTTGATGGTACACAATAGTATTTTAATTTTACTCATTAGTGTATAATCTCATTTTCTGTATGCTTCTAAACATTTGTATGCCAGTATACATACATAAATGAGTATTAAATTTATTTAGCAAATATTTGTGATGAAAAAGCCATTCATACTTAATATATTTTTATCTTCAGTTTTAACTTTGTATTATTGCATTGATGTATAATTAATATGGTGTGCCTCAGAGTTGGCAGAGCAACTCCTTATCACTAAGCCACCAGAGCAATTAGAATCCCAGTGTTCCACAGGACAAAAATGGGCAGTCTCATCTGTGCAATTTACTGCCTCCAAAAACCCACTGGAGGGTCTGCTGTGAATCGGCTCTGACGCAAAGGAGCATAACAACAACAACATAATTAATGCAAAACATGCTTGTATTCTAGGCTGTATACTAGTAGATAACAGATAAGAATTCATTTAATTTTAAAATAATATTTTGAGGCAGGAAGTATTATAAACATTTTATAAATAGAAAATCTTAGATTCAGAAAAGTAACTATGTGGTAGAACTAAGTTACCATTCACACATATCAGACTTCAAAGCTCACAAACATTTATACTTTTCACATGAGGCCCTAATGAAACAGTTTATATTATTTTGGAAAAAAAGAAATATGTACTAGACTTGCAGCCAAGATAGGGGGACAGGATCCAGGTTACAAAACACTCACCAGAAATGCAAAAAGTAAGAAAACAAACAAAAAACAGAACAAAGGTACATGAAACTAAGGCTGTCATTCAACAAATAATTCAACAAAACGGCATTCAACAAATGACAGTTTAATAAGTCCTGAGAGATGACACAAAAGAAATAGCCTTATGATTACCCAGAATGCTGCCCTGAGTTTCTACACTTGTAAGAAAACAGAACTCTTATTAAAAAGGTCACATACTACATTAAAAGTCTTTGAGAAAATAAATGTAAGCACATATTTATTAAAGCCTTTGACGAAATGATAACAGAGTTAAATTTAAGTGATTGTTACACAATATTGTTACAAGAGAACTTGGCAAATATTAAAACTTAAAGAACTTTCAATATTTTGTTATTTCACTAGAATGATAAAAATAGAACAAAATTAATGTTTTTGGTCATATTTTCTTGATTGTTTAGGAATTCATACCTCGTAAAAGCTGTTCCTGTTTTACCACAAGTCCCTGGTATTTTTTAAATGTTTTTTCATAATCCTTTCTCAAGGTTTGGTTTTCAAGATCTTCATCAAGTAAACAACCTGAGTTAAGGATCACATGTAATTATGGAAGCAAATAAAAGTTTCTGAAATTATGATAAATAACACTATTAAACTTTATATGCAATTTCATTCCATTATTTTCTCTAGCTAATAGTTTTAACGAAAATGTTTTCTTTTCTACATAATAATTATGCTGTAACAGGACACCTTAGCCAAGGGTTCATGGATTCCCTTACAGTCATAGTGGGAACATATCAACCTTTATCAAGGTACTTGAATCTCCAGAAATTGTATGCAAAATATTTTATGTAGACTGTAACTTTTAATAGATTATCAAAATGATCTATTAATCCTTACTAAGTAAATTAATTATGAAAATGTTTGAATAAGCTTCAGAGGCTCAGAATATTTAAATAATGCAAAACAGACCTTAAGCTTTTTTCCCCCTGATGCAGAGTAGAGATCCCTTAAAAATTATAATAAAAGTGCAAGTAAATAAAGTTTTAAAGGTACATCGGTTCATAATAATCCCTTGGGCTTGTAGGAATAATACTTTTACTTTGGCTTCAAAATCTTCAAGGATTTAAAAATAATCCAGAATATAAGTTAAAATAGTTGACTAAATTTTGAATGCTGTTTGCATCAAAACATGTAATTTTTTTCCCCCTCCTCAATCATTTAACCCATATGACATTTCACCCACATTTTACCTACGATACAGTTGGTAAATGATGAGTTTTATAATCTATGTTGAGCCATAGTTTAATTGTAAGCATCATATTTTTTCTTAGTGATTCATTAACAACCATACATATAAACTGTACAATCAACAGTATTTGACAGAAATGCATGCCCCTGGAATACTGATTCTGATAATTAGACAAAGTATAGCAAAATTAAGGATTAGTGAAAAGTTCTAGTAGTGACTCTGTTGCTTTCTCTTGTTTAGATAAGATACATTTTGGTTACACTGAGCCATTCAGGAGGTTTAGAACTCTAGGATGAATCTCAAGCCTCCAAAGTTATTGAGTTAGCCCAGTAGTTCATTTAATACCAATCTAAAGCAAAATTCTTAAAAGTTCACATAGAAAGTTTCTAAACCCAGAGAGATCTTAACTAAGAAAATGGAAAGTCTAAAGAGAAAGAAAACTGTATGTCTGTGTATGTGAATGCATTTTTATATTGTCTTGAGGACACCAAATGACAATTTTAAAAGCCTGTCCAAAATACTCAGAATTTGTCTATACTCACAGATTATATAATATTGAGGATTTAAGGTCTCAGAAAACAAAAATCAATAGAACAGGACTGTTCACTTTTTTTCCACTAAGGACAGTTATGAAACAAATGAACTTTACACAACAGAAATGTTTTCTCTTTTTTAAAAGACATTAATAAGTTTTGGGATCAAAGGAAAGGAACTAATACCACTTTTTAATCTTGAAAACAAGTCATATAAGGATAGCTATAACCAGAGCATCCCATTTAGGAAATTAATTTGTAGAGGCAATTTGAGAAATACCTTCAAATATGAGAATAGAATCTCAAATCACAGAATGGACTGAATTACTAAATTACACTGCTAGAGAAGATTCCGACCATCTGACAGGAATGTTGAAAATTACTTTTATTGTAAGATATGTTAATTTCCAAAGTTACTTTCACATGTTCTATCATTTTATGTTGTTGTTGGTGCCGTCGAGTTGCTTGCGACTTGTAGTGACCCTATGTACTACAGCCCCATATGATTTGCTCTACCCTGTGCCAACCTTACTGTCTCCAACACACCTACCTTCACTACCCAGTCACTGAATCAATTCACCTCATAGAGGGTCTTCCTCTCCTGCACTGTCCCTCCACCCTCCCAAGCATGATATCCCTCTCTGAGGACTGGTCCCACCTTGCAACATGTCCAAAGTATGTCAGATGAAGTTTCAGAATCCTTGCCTCCAAGGAGCACAATGATTTCACCTTCTCTAGTATGAACTACTAGCTGTCCATGGTATATAGGCCTCTTAAATTTATATTTATTAAAAAAATTTTTTTGCACTTAATTAGAAAGTAGATTTAAAAATTATTTTGAACACCAACTTTACATCCTTTGTAAACAAAGTCATTTTAGTACTCTGAGAGAAGTACAAAAGCCATTAGTGGTGAGCAAGGTTTTCACCAACCAAAATGTCTTAGTGGATGTATGGTATAATCACTTAGAGACTCACCAGCCTATACCACCTGCTCTCTCTACCACACATTAAATAATTAAAGTTGGGAAGAGGCAAAGCATATCTCAAACTAAATTATTTCTGATATTTTCAATTATTTGTTTAACCTTTAATGTACTAACTATCTTATCTTGTTTTCCAAATTATTTAAGTGGAAAAGAAAAATGACAGTAACAGAATTAACCCCTATCTATCCAAAAGTTAATACCCATAGGCAATAATGTGGTGAAATTCCATTCTTAAAGGATATCAGCTTTTTTCTTCTTAGAAAGTTCTTCTTGCCAAAGCTCATGTCTTTTTAACTCATGATCAATGATATTCATACACAAAGCTCCTATTTTATAATGAGTGATAAGTCCATGAAACTGAGAAAAGCTTAGAAAAAGATATTTTAATAAGGATTTGATAGAATATATTCTATGAATGGAGAAAATCTGTTTTAGGTAAGCATTGATAAATAAGTAAATTAATATAATCATAGCATATACCAGAAAACTCTGAAAGTATAAAATTACTTCCTAATAGCTTTTAAAATGTTACACTTATCTGAAATTATTTGTTAATTATTTTTAGAAGGTTAGAATTTATATATATATATATATATTTTTTTTTTCTTCTTCTTATTGTGTAACAGTGAATTGGATCTAACTGGCATAGGAGGTGACTGTCCCTCCTTCTGCAGGAAAGAATCAGGTGGATTCAAACCGCAAGCCTTCAGGATTGCAACGAACTATTTAAAGTAGATACTCTAAAAAAAATTTAGAGTACTACAAAAGGAGCTAATAATGTAACATTAGAAATCTACTTTTGGTGAGCTCTGGTGGCTTAGTGGCAGGAAACTGCACTGCAATCCCAGAGGTGTGCAGTTCAAATCCACCAGATGCTCTACAATCTCCTCCTGTACCAGTCAGATCTGATTTGACGGTACACACACATACATACATACATAGATACATACATAAATTTTTTTTTAAAAAAAGAAATCTACTTTCTTGCATAAAACAGATATCAGAGCATTTTAACAAATCAGTAACATAATAGTATTTGTAAGTATTTCTTAAAGAATTTATTCTTTCAGATAATGATCTACTATCTGATTTGGAGATGCTAGCAAAATTTTAAAATAGAAGCATGTAACTATTCTTGGAAACTTTTCAGAATGTCTGAATAAACATACTCTTTTTAAAGAATATATGTTAATAAATCATATATATGGATATACAACACATGCAAATCAAAAAATATTTGTACACACAACAATAACATTTATTGAGCATTTTGTCTAGGTCAAGACTTATTCTCTACATTAATTAGAATGAATAGTTTATTAATTTATTTATACCTAAAAGCTACCATAAAAGTACTAAAATAGTACTATTATTACTTTGTACATTTTGCAGATAAGAAAAGGGAAGTATGGAGAAATAATGCATTTAATATCACAAAGCTAATAAATAACAAAACTAGAAGTAGATCTGATGCAGTTTACTTCCAGAGCCTCATACTCTAAATCTTTGGAGTACTCACTATCTTCCTGTTTATGGTCCACATATGGATAGTGTGGACTAATTGAATGAACAACAGAAAGCGAGGCAGGGGATGGGAAACAGGCATGTATGAGTTCAGAGGCAGAGCATAAGGAGACAGACACACACAAATCCCAAGAAAGTGACTCACAAATTGAACCAGTGGTAGAGAAAAACAAAGACTAGTAATTCTACTTCATATTTATACATACCTGGAAAAGCAAAAAAAGATGTAAATAATATTTGTAGCTAACTCAACACTTTGCTTCCAGTCTTCTCTCAGGACCCTTGCTAATGCACCAAGGGCAGTTTCTACAGAAAAGGGGGATGTATTAAAAAAAAAAAAAAGAATGATCATTCACCTTACCTCTGGTATAAAGGATGATTTGGTTTTAAATGTCTGGTCATTAATAAATAACAAGGCTAAGACAGAACTGGAACAAAAAAGTAGGATGCTTTTTTCCAACACAGAAAACTATTTTTTAAAACTTAAATACAACTTTTATTTTAAAACGCTTAACCTAGAGCTTTAAGTCTCCAATTACAGGCAGAAAAATAAAGGTGATTTAGATAAAGGAACATAATACGTACAAAAGAAGGTCATTTAATTATTGGTTTCATTTGCATTTGTTATCTTCTTACTGTACTACCATTTTCTAAAGTAATACCTATTTTCACATATTTGAGGATAAGGACAAAATATTAAGATAAATTTAGAAAAAGCAAAAGTTAAAATTAGTTTAATTATAATAAATTAGAAAGTAAATAAAATTAAAATACAGAAAAAATAAAGTAGTATTTTAGTATCAGGGTAATTTATGCTAAAATATTTTATAAAATTAGCTTTAGGTTAAATTAATAAACATTCCTACTATATTTTGTGAGGGAAATAGAAACTAAGAGTTAGAATATATTGGGTGTGTTATATAAGAAACCCAGGGAACTCTGGTGGTGTAGTCCATAGGGAGTTGTCCTGCTAATTCAAATGTGGCACGTGTCTGGTGGTCTGAATCCACCAGTGCCTCTGTGAGAGAAAGGTGGGCAATCTCCTTCCGTGTGATTTACAGCTTCTAGATAGCCACTGGAGGGTCAGCTATGATTAACAACGAGTTCTTGAGTTCAAGATTTAAAAAATCATATAATGCAATAATCTATATTTTAATATGGGCAATAACCACACATATCTATATAAAATATTAAAAAGATCTGGAAGAATTCATTAAACATTAAGGGTAACGCTAAAAGTAGATTTTATCTGAAGTATTCTAACTACTTTAAAAGAATATATGTAAAAAAAAATAAAAAAAAAGAATATATGTGTGTATTAGTGGTATATTTTTAAAAGTTATACTGTGCAAATATTCTAATTGGAACAACTCTCTGGATAGATACTGAGACATGATCTTGAGCTATAAACTGTTATTTTTCTATTCAACATCCATTATAATAATATAGTAACACTTAAAAGATACTCTTTCTCAAGTGATGAAAACCAAATAATAATGACATTTCTCATGTTTTTCTGGCAGAAGGAGAAACAGGGAATCAAGCATTTAATATAGTTTTAAAGTGTCATTACCGAGCAAAAGATTTTACTTGTGTTTCCTTTTCTTTACAAAGCATCTCTTGTGAAAAGCAACTGAAATTATAAAGATGCAGTATAACTTCTGCTGTGCTATTGACAGAAGCCTCAAACTAAAACTCTAATTTCTCAAAATGCATAAAGGGGTAGGAAAGAAGGAAGAATGGACAGTGGTAGAGAGAACAAGAGAAACTGAGGGAGAACATGGGAAGAGTGGTGTTACCTTAAGGGAACTGAAGTTAATGTTACTAAAACACAATGTGTATAAATTACTGACTGGAAAAGTAATGTACTCTGTAAACTTACAACACAAACTATATTATTTTTTATTTTTTTGAAAGAAAAGAAACCTTAATTTAATAAATAATATTATGTACACACTTAGGCAAATGTTTCCCTAATTTAAAAAAGAAAGTTATCCAGAGTAGAAGATACATTACAGTTAATACTAAATTTTCCTTGTTTAAATTAAATGATACACAAATTCATACAGAATACTTAAATGAAACTAAAATTTAAATTTGAATACGAAGGAAATTGAGAGTTGTAAAATATCTGAGTAGTCTAAAGGGAGTTGTGCTGCTAACCCAAAGACCAATTCTCTGGTGATTTGAATTCACCAGTAGCTCCAAGGGAAAAAACCCAAACAATCTCATTCTGTGCAATGTGCAACCTTAGAAGGCCAATGAATGTCGGCCCTGGGTGGGTTCTAATTTGAGAGCAATGAGCTTAGAGAATTTTGTTACAAGTAATTTTACCATGCACCTCTATTATAAGTAAAACTACATAACAATGAGTATTCCAATTCATGGTGACCTCACATGTCACAGAGTACAACTGTGTTCTATAGGTTTTCAATAGCTGATTTTTTAAAAGTTGGGGCATCAGAATAGATTTAATTGCCAACCAGGTTAACTTCATCACCCAGGAGACTTCTACTCCTATTATAATAGATTTTTTAACTCTTTACAGTAAGTTTTAGATTTTAATATTTATAGATCTAAATTACCATTCAACAGTAGTTCTTCCAAGTTATCAGGATTTCGAGCAAGTTGCAGGATCAAAGCAGAACCTCGAACCTTGTCAGGAATATCTTCATATAGTAATTCAATATATTCATCCATGTCATTAATGTTAGCAACTTCATCAATCTGAAACAAAGGAAGCAGTTGTTGTTATGTGCTGTTCAGTCAAAGCTGAATCGTAGCTGATCCTCCAGCTGACTTTCCGAACTGTAAGCTATTTGGGAGGAGACTGCCTAGCTTTCCCCCTTGAAGCAACTGGTAGATTCTAATCACCTGCCTTTAGGTTGGCAGTACAACCTATCATTAGGTCACCAGAGATATAAAAATAATATTAGGGGAGAAATTAGACCTTTAGGAATTATGCTCCAGTATAAAACGATTAATAAATCACATGCTAAAATGTACATAAAAACTAAACATTTTTTCTCTCACTATAAAATATCTTAATGAAGTGAAAAATAATAATATGGATCTACTGTAACAGATAAGGCAATATTTCAAAACTTTTCTAGTGAGAAAATTTAAACATTTTTCACAAGTTATTCTATAAATTGTTTAAAAAGCACAATAAATAATCTTTATTAATTTAAACATTAATTTTCTACCTTTTTGAGCAAATTATAAAGTTTAAATGCCACATTTTAATTATGATTTTAATTGTAGGCAACATCTTACTGCCATTGTCTATTAGATCAAAATACAGTCTTACCTCCATTCCTTCAAAAGGAGGTGGATCTTTAGGTTTGCTAGGTTTTTCCTTTTTTTCTGTAAAAAATACATATAGACATAGATATTGAATGCAAAACATTTAAATATTTTGTTTTCAGTAGCTGAGTCTATTTCTAAGAAAGCTGCATTATCTTAAATTGAATAGTTTATTTTTTAAATGTATAAAAATGTTACTATATAGTTCTTTTTTTTTCAGATAAGATTATAAAGTATTGACTCTACAGTGTTTGGATGTCTGCTTCAAGGATTCAGTGCATCTGGGCTGATTGCATTAAGGCCTCTTTAAATCTGGATGGTCTGTTTCAAGGCCTCCCTACATTGGAGATGTCTGTTTCATGCCTCCCTTAATCTAGTATGTCTTCTTCAAGGCCTCACTGCATCTGGGCTGTCTGTGTCAAGGACTCCCTGAATCTGGGCTGTCTGTTTCAAAGGCCTCTCTGTGGCTAGAATGTCTGCTTTAAGGCATTCAAAAAGAGTGCAGGACTCGACTATCTACCTGTTTGTGCTTAGGATATCTCCTTTAAGGTCTAAAACCTAAAAATATGTACTCAAAATGTGGACTCAATTGTCTACCTAAGTATAAGTTAATAAAGCCTAGAAATACTGTTTCAAGTTATTTTAGACACTATAATTTTCTTTCTTTCTAAGTAATATTTTAGTTGCACATATAACCAGGCTTACCAAGAAAAAACTAAACTGTCTATTTTATGTTTCCTCTCCTTGTTTTCCTAATTCACATTTAAAGTTGCCGTTGTTAGGTACTTTTGATTTGATGCTTATTTACTGCAACCCTATATACAATAGATTAAAAAAAAATCAACAAGGCAAAGAAAAAGAAATGACTTAGGTTAAAAAAATCACCAATACCCTCAAAAGAACCTTAATAAAGAAATTACTTGAATAATTTTAAAGCTAGTATAAAAAAGTTATTTTAAAAACAGCATTTTTAAAATTAAAATTAAGATCATAAATTGAAGGCCAATACTATTTGTTCCCAAAGAGATACTCAAAGATGCTGAATACAAACTTAAATCACTGGTTATGCTGAATTATGGTGCATAAGTTTTATTTTCTAGCAAAATGATTTCAAAATATTTTAATGATGTGGCTCAAAATTCTTAAGCATACATGCTACACATATATACTTAAGTTAAATAATATTTAAATTTTTATTCTATAATTATTAAATATACCTTATAAATAAAAGTTCTTGTTATCTTCAAAAAGGACAGAAGTCATTCTAAACAAGGTCACAATTTCTCAGCAGCTAAATTTTACTTCAAACAGTTTATTTTTGAAGTATTATATAACTAAAGAAAAATCATAGAATGAATTTGCTTTGTTCTAATAATTTTTAAATCAAGGCTTCTGGCTTTGAAATACCGAACAAAGAAATGGGTTGAAAAGAAAAACTGAAATAGCTCTCAAAAAGTAATAAATCTAATATATGAAAGCATTTTATATGACTTCAAATGTTATGATGATGTGAAACTTTCCTCACAGTCTTCTAATCTCTTGCAAAGGTAGTGAGGAAATTGATTTGCTTTGAAAAGTCAGTGAACGAGTTTTCATTTATTAAAAGATATTTTACTATATATACCTTCAGAATCACTAAATTGGCATTAAAAAAAATCAGTAATAACTATAGTATATCCAATATAAATATATATTAGAAATATAAATGAAAAGATCAATATAAATAAATAGATATATTATAAATATAAAAGTTGCACACTTTTCACCATCTATTTGAAGATGTAATCTCTCATTTATACATATATTAACAAGAAGATTCAAACTTAAAATATTTCCCCTTATAAAACTTCTTGATAAATAATATTTTACTTATCAGGATAGGACCTATTAAACTTCTTGATTAATAATATTTTACTTATCAGGATAGCACCTATCATAATTAACAAGTATATACTGAATGGCAGCACGTGATTAGAATAAATCAAATTTAAAATATTATACTTCATCATTAAACATGTTCAGAGACATGTGATTAAATCAATAACTATATACCGGTCATATCATAAACTAGATTCTGTTTAAAGCTAAAAAAGTATGCATTAAAAACTGACATTTTATGCAACAATGAATGAATGGAAATCCAAATTCTCTATAAACTTTTATTAAAACTCAACTAAAAAAACTCCCCCCAAAACAGTGGCATTTTATTTGCTGAGGATGGAGATGTAAGAATGATTAATCTTTTTAAATGTAACAGATTTTCTCATTTTTTTAAAAAAACTTAGTATAAGCAAAATCTGGTTATAAATTATTTCAAAGGCACCATATTTTATTACTCACCAATGGTTAAAGTAAGATGTATATTTAATAAATATTGTGTGATAGTATAACTAACCACTTAATAATAAAAAATTAAATTTCATTTAAATGTTTTGGTTGAGATTATTTAGAAATTATTATATAAATAATTATGTGCTTAGTTTTATTTGCACAGTTCTTAATCTCTTAATGACTTGATTCCTTAAGAAGGAAATTTAGGATAGGAAAATAGTAACAGGAACACTGAAGAAAGAAAAAGTAATATTTGACTAAGGTTAATAAAGTTGCACTCTTAGGAGAGTTTAAAGCACATAATATATATTATAACATTTAAATAGTTTCATAATATCTTCAAATTATAAATTAAAGGTTAATAAAGAAAATTTGTCTATTTGGTTGTTGTTGTTGTTATGTGTTGTCCAGTGGTTTGCAACTCATAGCGACCCTATGTACAACAGCCCTAAACCCTGCTCTATCCTGTGCCAATTGCATTGCCTCTGACACACTCGTCCCGACCACCCCAGTCACTGAATCAATCCACCTCATAGAGGGTCTTCCCCTCCTGCGCTGTCTCTCCACCCTACCAAGCATGATGTCCCTCTCCAAGGACCTGTCTATTTGGAGCAGAGATAATAAAGTTCCTATTGTAAATTCTATGCTTTTATTTCTGTAGAGTTAATATGATTGAAATACATTCATGTTGATATGTGTTGTTGAGTCAGAACTGATTCATAGCTGACCCTAGCAGGTTTTCTGTGGCCACTTATCACATGGCAAGAGATTTCTCATCTTTTTTCTGCAAAGGAGTTGGCAGATACAAACCATTTGCTTTTGGATTGGCAGTATAACTCTATACCCACTAGGCCACTAGAACTTAAGATTTATGTGAAAGTATCTATGTAGAACATAGTACATAGAAAACAAACACAATTTTTAATCTTTCATTTACTTATTCATAGAACTAGGAAAAATATTCAAATATCAAAACCATAAACTATAAGCAAACCACTCTGATTTTGAATTGAGAAATCAGTTAATTCTACTACTTACCTTTTCCTGACAATGCATCTCGGCGATTTTGTAGATAATACAACAGTTGCTCAACCTCATTTAGTTTTGAGGGATGAATAAGTTTACACTCTTCAACTACCTTCCGTGCCAGAGAAGTTATATCTGTGTTGGCATTGAGACTCTTAAGACGAATGCTGCAGAACATCAGAATTTCCCAACTCAGATGTTATAAAATAAGCAATAGCTTCAAATACACTTCTTTGAAATAAATAATTTACAAATAATTTAAATGTACCTGACCATATATCTCTACAGTAAGAATATAACAAAGTGTCAAGTACTCATACTTAGGAAACTACAAAGCAACTGTTATGAGAAGTATAAGCAAGGTAAGAAAAGAAACATAACACCTACATTTATCTTTCTTCCCCAAACATGTTGTTATTGCTGTTACGTGTCATCAAGCTGAGTACAGTGACCCCATGCACAACCGACCTGAATCCTGTCTTATCCTGCGCCATCCTCAACATCTCTCATAAACTTGAGATCACTGCTCCAGTCACAGTGTCAATCTACCTTGTTAGGAGTCTTTCTTTCTGTCCACCTTTACAAGCACAAGATCCATAAGAGCGGGATGATGACTAAGGATGACAAGAAGAATTGATGCCTTTGAGCTGTGAAGTTGGAATAGACTATTGAACATACCATGGACTGCTAAGAGAACAAATAGGTCTATCCTGGACAGGGTGAAACGAGGCTGCTCCTGTAAGGATTTTGAAGGTCTGTCTCACACATTTTGGTCATGTTGCCAGGAGGAACTAGTCCTTGGAGAGAGACATGCCTGGAAGGGTGGAGGGTCACTGTAGGAGAGGAAGACCTTGGATGAGATGGATTGACTTGGTAACTGGGGTCAAGGGGTAGGTGTGTTGAAGACAATAAAATTGGCTTAAGACAGCAGGGTTCAGAGCTGTTGAACATAACATTGCTATGAATCACAAATGACTTGAAAGCACATAACAACATCTGGAGTAAATATATTTTCTTCTTTTACCATATAGATCTTTCTTCTAAAGTCTTCCCTATTACGAAAGACCAGGAAAAAATTGAGGAGGGAGCAAATTTGTTTCAAAAATGTTAGTGGTATGTTTTCTGGCTTATCCTAATAGGTAAGAATATAATCTTGATTAGGCAGTTTAGGTGTATAACATGTTGTGTTAGTAAATCCACCAGTTAAGAGGAGTCGTTTCCTGTAAAGATTTATAGCCTTGGAAACCCAAAGAAAGTTTCCTCTGCATTGGACTCAACTTACCAACATTGAGTATCATTGATTTGAGCCTATTAAAACAGCTTAATCTATTACACCAGTACCAAAATCTTGGGAGAAAGGCAGATGTATAATTTTTAGATCATAATCACCAAGTTCTTAAAAAAAGCCAAAATCTTCAAAGAGCCAAGTCTCTGTTGATGATGCACTCACACTATATCTCATCTCTTTGTATATTTGAGCTCTGGTATTCTTGTGGTAAGAAGCTGCACTGCAATCCTGATGGTATGCAGCTCAAATCCACCAGCTGTTCTGCGGGAGAAAGGTGGGCAATCCCCTGTGCAATTCACTGCTTCTGAAAACCCACTGGAGGGTCAGCTATGTGTCAGTTCTGATTCAATGGTTCACAAAAACTACTACTACTGAAAGCAAGAAATATGTTTTCTGGACCTGGGCCATGGCATTGGATAGTCCAATTTCATAACATTTCACTTCACACCTATCTTAATCTAACTGAGCCAGCCTGGCACTGATAAAATCTTTGTAACAATAAATCATAATATTCTTTTGTTCTCACAATCTTATTCTTTTCCAAATATGGTGAAGCTTGGGTTATGTATTGAGAAACTAAGGTTTCCTTTTACTGATGTTAAATCTACTTCTTCTAACCACAATTTGTAATAACTCATTCCAGGTGGCTGACTCTGCTGTGAATGTACCCTTTGTAAAGAAAGTCTGATGACTTTCAAACAATAATCTCCCTTAATTCCAGATGAACAGACTACTGAATCTATTCTTTATAACTAAAAACTGCATTTCTCCACTGAAATATGAATGTGTGACAATTAGAAGAGCTTCGTTGGATGTTAAATTAATAATTAAACCTGAAAAGATTGTCATGATTTTCAAAATTTAGGCAATACAAACACACTAACCAGAAAAAGTATGCAAGAATACCCAGTATAAACTTATAATGAGAATCAACTGTGTATGTGCATAATAATGTATATTTCTCTTCATTCTACTAGATTATTTAGCAAACTTTATTATCTTTCATTATGTAAGCAAACATGGTCACCCTTTTAATCCAAGTAAGGCAGGTTTGGGGCTGGAATCCAGATTGGGAAGTTTCTGGAGCAGCTGGATTCTATAGAGAGAAATACTGAATACAACATAGACTGCCAAAATAACAAACTAATCTATCTTGGGAGGAAATGCAACCACAGTGCTCCTTAGAGTTTAAGGATGGTGAAACTGGTCTCACAGACTTTGGGCATGCTGTCAGGAGGGGCTAATCCTTGGAAAATGGTGAGAAAAGTAGAGGGTCAAGTATAAAGAGGAAGACCATCAATGAGATGGACTGACTCAGGATTCTAACAATGGGCTCGAGGGTGATAAAGATTGTTAAGGATGATGCAGGATTGGTCAAAGTTCAGATCTGTGTCCAGGGAGCTGCTATGAGTTATACTGAAAAGCGTCTAACAATATGACAAGAGATAATTTAATGATGTGATAGTAGTGGGTTTTCTATTCATAAAGGATTTTATGCCACAAAAGAAAATCACATGACAGAGTTATCACTGGAGAGTTGTACAGCTGACCCTCGTTACTTGTACTCCTAGTAACAAGCTGTTGACTATACTTAGTACCATCAAATATTTCTAACTAGTTTTCACATAAAATCCTTTTTATGTAGGCAACAGGATTAGAAGAGAGTATTAGGTGATCTCAGACTATCCTTATTTCCACAAAGCTATGTTAGGAAGGAGGGAGCTCTAGTGGCATAGGGTAAGAAATTACATTGTTAACCAAAAGGTACACAGTTCAAATCCATCAGCTGCTTTGCAGGAGAAAAATGGACAGTCTCCAACTCGTGATTTACTGCCTCTGAAAACTCACTGGAAGGTCGGCTGGGAGTCACTTCCAACTTGAAGGTACTCACAACTCACAATAACAGTTAAAGGAAGATCACAGGATAAAGGCAAGCTAATAAAGGATTCCTAGCAGGCTCCTTGAATCACAAATGTAGGAACAAAATGTGTCAAGTATTGTGCTTCTCTCTGCTGTATATAAGGGTCACTACAAGTTGGAGTCAACTTATCTATTAAGTCAGAACATACTTGTCTTATTACTAACATCTTTTAGAGGGCTGATTTAAAAGGATGACTTCAAGGTCTGGGGATCATTTGGCAGTTCCTGCGTGTCATATTACTTGTAAATCTAGAGCCTAAAAAAAAAAAAATCCAAGATCCTATTAACTATAAATTTGCTAAATTAGGCTAAACTGGTCCACATAAAATATATCTTTTGTGATTTTATAGTTAGTAGTTTATATCTTGTGATATATATTTACTTAATGGGATAAATCAGAATAGGTATTTTTCATCAGGTTTCTATTATGCTTAAATAAACCTGATTTTCTCTGAAATATAGTCTAGATTTATTAATATGTTTTACTAACATGAACTATGTCTAAAAGAATGTCATAACCACTTATAATCTACACAGATTAAAATCAAACCAGGTTTACAAAAAGTTCACCACTTTTACAATGTATATGAATAAAGAAACATACATTTTTTGGCATTCTTTTCGTTCTCCCAACATGGGATCACCCATCTCTCCAAGAATTGTAGCTTCCACTTCATATTGAACAATGAGTGCTTTTTCTGATGGGTGCACATCAATATTTCCTCCTTTAACTTTCCTAGAATAAAAAAAGTAAAAAAAAAAAAAACTGATTAAAAAAAACACAAAATGTCCAGTTTTTGCATAGAAGTTTCTTCCAAAAAAACACATTGGCTACATTAAGACCTATATTTAAGTCAGGTATTTTTTTTACTTGATCCAAGAAACAACTTTCTCCAACTCTATATTATAAACATGTAACTCTATATTATAAACATGTTAACAGTTCCCTTATGACTAATTCTACTTCAGAAAAATACATTTATTCAAAATCATATCAAAGAACAAGTCAATGAAATATAAACAATTAAGATCATAAGGGAGAGAATGGCCTCAACTAAGAGTTAACACTTCAGTCTAAGGTAGCTATTCTAAAATGTATAACAACAACAAAACAAACCTACCAAATTATTAGTTCATTCATTAGATCAGAGAATGAAATAAACTGCAATATGTATTATGTACCATCTTAAATAATTATATAAATTTCAACATTAGTTCCTAATAATCATTCCTCAAATTATACAATTGCATTTTTAAAAAAGCATTTATTGGTTAGTTTAGGTTTACTGTCACTTATGTCAAATTGTAAGGCCACTAGCAGTTTCCATAGATATGTTGAACTGTTCTCAGACTTCTATAATTCATAATTTTAGTAAACCAATAAACAAATAATCACTACTTGTCACATGGCCATTTTAGAAGGTGATAAATTAAATTATTCTAGAATAGATTAAGCAATAGAAATAAGCAAATTTCCTAATCCAGTCACATCAGAATTCTCTGAAGCAAGGATGATGAGCCTTAATCACATATTTGGGGCAAGTCATCAGGAGAGGTGAGTTCCTGAAGAAAGACATCAAACTTGGAAAAGTGGAAGGGTCAGAAAACAAGAGGAAGACCTTCAGTAAGATGGAATAACAGAGAGACTTGAACAATGCACTTGACCACAGCAGACTGAGGACCAGACAAGACTGAGCAGGGGCTGATTCACTGTACAAAGTTGAACACAGTCACTAGTTGACACGATTTGGGTTCAACATTATTAAAGGAGATATATTTAAGTTTTGTTTCTTCCATATTATCTATTTATCCTACTTAAAAAAAAAACCAACCTTTTATTGTGATTTAAGTTAAAGTTTGCAAAACAAACTGGTTTTCCTTCAATGATTCAGATACATTGCATTTCATGTCACTGATTATATTTCCCACGTTGTAACTGCACTCTTTTCATTTACTGTGTTGTTGAACTCAAAACTCCAGTTGGCCTCACGTCTTCTAATTAGAAAGTTTCAACTTCACATTTTGCTTTTTAATTTATCTGTAAAATTTTTTTTTCATTTTGTTCAGGTAGAAGTTTACCTTCCCCTACAGAAACACTGTGTTGGCACCCTTCTAGCATCTTTTACTCACCTACCCTTTTTGTGAACACAACTCACAGTGATCACACTCTATCTGAAACAAGTTAACCGTTCTACTCCACAAAGGTGAACACGTTTCACAAAATAGTACTTACTCATTCTATGTACAAGGTATTAGATTGTCTACAGACACACAGATATATTGTAATGTGACATTTGGAAATTAAACCTAATTTATTTAAAAAATCTTCATTCCCATCTGCAATCTACATGACACTATTTCTAGTCTTTTAATATTGTATTCAGTTGTCCTATTAAATTATTCTTCTCTACCCTGTCACACTCCCTGAGCTCACTTTAAAAAAAAAGTCCATTCATTGTTGCACACTTTCCCCTCCCTCTCTTAGTCTTCTTTGCAATGTACCTCTAATTCTGGGCTGCTGTCATATGTACAATGCCTAATCATATTATTTCTTTTATAGTCTTTTACATCATTTGTTTCAATGCAGTGTTCATTCTCTATCCACTCTTATCCTTTCTTCTCCCAACCCTCCATGTCAGATCTGCTCTATAACAGTGGTGCTATGTACTATTTGTCCTTCTGTGAATGAGATATTTCCCTCAGCATAATGTCCTCCAAGGTCACCCTTGTTGTGTAAAGATTTACGAGTTCACTGTTTTTCAGTATTGTTTAGTATTCCTCTGTATGAATATACCATAGTTTTCCTATCCATTCATTTGTTGATGGGCACTTAGGTTGCTTTCATCTCTTTTCTATTGTAAATAACATAGCAATAAACATGGGCATGTAGATATATACTTGGATGGCAGTTCTGGTTTCTTCGGGGTGTATTCCCAGTAGTGGAACAGCTGGATCAAATGGTATTTCTATTTTCAACTTTTTGAGAAAGCATTAAACTGCCTTCCATAGTGGTTGCACCATTTTACACTCCCACCAGCAGTGAATAAGCATGCCAGTATTTATTGTTTGTTGCTCTACAGTATTTTGTTATTGTTACTAGTGTGAGATGATTTGCATCTCTCTTAGAGCTAGGGATTTTGAAAATTTCTTCATATGTTTGCTTGCCATCTGAATGTCTACTTAGATGATGTATCTATCAATATCCTGTGCCCATTTGTGATTGGGTTGTTTACCTTTTTCTTGTTGAGGTGCTGGAATATTCTATACATTTTAGATATGAGTCCCTTAACAGAGATGTCATTACCAAATGTTTTTCCCATTCTGTGGCTCTCCCTGTTGGAGATGTGTTTTTTTTGATGGGCACAGGGATTTTTTTTAATTGCCCTGTTTAAGGAGTATGGTGAAATATTGAGATGCTTATAATAGGCATTCTCGATGATCTTTTTGTGACAAAATCAATGTTTCTAAAGCTTCCTCATTAAATGTTTAAATCATAAATCCTTTCTGTTTTAGGATTGAGGGTTGTTTTTTTTTCCCCCTCATAAAAGTTTTTTTAAACACAAAATGTTGAAAACATTTTAAAAAATGTTTAAAAACACAAGATGCTTTTTTATATCATAAAAGTATATTAAATATCATCTATTTTCTCCATCAATGGGATGGTCATGTGTTATTCTTCTTTAATCCATTAATGTACTGAATTAAATTCATTAAATACATCAAATTATACTCGTATCCCTGGGATAAACAGAACTGGGTAATGCTGGATTGCAATACATTATTGGATTAAGTTTGCATTCTTGTTCATCAATGATACTGAACTGCAATTTTCTTTTTGAGTAACGTCCTTTCCTGGTTTTCATATAGAGATTATTCTAAAATCCTAAAATGAGATGGGGAATATTTTCCCTTTCTACATTCACTAAAAGAGCTGTACAAATTGGAATCATCTGTTCCCTGAATATTGAGCAGAATGCAGCCTTAGAACTCTCTTGGTAGTATAGAATTTATCAGCACAAGACAGTACTTTCTATTTTGTGTAATACTGTTTTTTGAAGTATATTTTTTTTCTATAATTATATTTTATTAATTTTCATAAACATTTACAGAGATTTTGGGCTTCCACTCATTCATTGTTGCACTATTCTCTCTAC